AGATTCTTTGTGATATGGACGAGTTTCATGACGATCGTGTGCATAACGCGCGTCTGACGTCTAGTCTGTACGCTACTTGATTGAAGTTTTCCGTTGATCAAACTTCATTTTTGCTACTTTTTGTGATGTAAACGTATGTACAGTCTGATGATTGTGCATGTATTCGTGGCTTGTTTTGTACGTAGCAAACGCAGCAGTGTTGGAGTAGAGTAGAGTTGGAGCGGAGAGCACATGATAGCTAACATATCGCAGCTTTCTTTCAGTTATTACTGTGAAAAGAAAAACAAAATACTTATTATAATAAACGAAAAATATTACAAGTAAACTTACTGATCTAAATAAAGTTCACTGTTACTAATGGGTAAACATGACCCGTGTTTGTATTCTTAATTTGTGTCGTTATTTGTGTTCGATGCCCTGTCCACCCCCATCCCCATAGTTTCAAGTCCGAGAGTTTGAGCCGGAAAGGCCGGGTAATTGAAAAAATGCGCTGGCAAATTGGCTTTTCAAAAAAAGCGACATCTACTGTATAGTAAGATAAGCATCATACAAAATTAACGATATCAGGATAAACAAAATCAAAGGCACCAGAACACGTACGAATACGCCAGACAATTCCTGCGCGCAACGCCGATCGTAAATGGCAGAAATTGCGCACACACAACCAAGACCTGGTTTGGCTCTACGCGCGCGCCAACACATTCCCCAGGCTTACCAGGCAAAGTGCGCGCACCGCCGCTAATGCGTGGCGCTATACGCGCGCGCGCAGACAAGGGCCGATCTGGCAGGTTTCGCGTACCAACAAAATCCATAGTCGTACCAACAAACTGCGCGCAGCGCCGCTAGTGGGGGGCGTTATGCGCGCCCGCGCGCAGCGCCGCTACGGCGTGGCCACTTGCGCGCGCGCGCATCAGCGCGCGAAATCGACCAATATCGGGTCCCAATTCTTAGCTCCTACGGCGACCGCTTGCATAGTTGAAGCCGGGCGGCGGAGCAAATTTCCGTCTCGTAAACGGTTGTCGCCTTTCCGAACGGTCGTCGCCTTTTCTCAGAACGGTCGCCGCCTTTCCGAACGGTCGTCGCCTTTTCTCAGAACGGTCGCCGCCTTTCCGAACGGTCGTCGCCTTTTCTCAGAACGGTCGTCGCCTTACTGAACGGTCGTCGCCTTTTCTCAGAACGGTCGTCGCCTTTCCGAACTGTATACTAATACGATTGCACTGTATTCCGTAAAACTGCACTGTATACTAATAAAACTGGAGTATTATGGAATCCAAGGCCCTACGCTGAATTGGTTAAAGGCTTTCCTGACCAACAGGGAGCAAACAGTAGTGGTTGAAGGGAAGGCGTCGGCTCCAGTTAAAGTAGCGTCTGGGGTCCCTCAAGGAACCGTCCTGGGGCCATTGCTCTTTCTCTTGTATATAAATGACCTACCAGATCAGCTTGACTCAAATGTGAGGTTATTTGCTGATGACTGTCTATTGTATGTAGAGCTTTCTACACAGACCGACTCACAACTTCTCCAAAAAGACCTGAACACCCTGGAAGAATGGCAAAGCAAATGGCTCATGCAGTTTAATCCCGAAAAATGCTACATTATGCACATAACAAACAAACGAACACCACATGCAACTAGCTACCAGTTTTGTGGTCAGGCTTTAGCAACCACAAAAATCCATCCGTATCTGGGCGTCACGCTGACAAGCGGACTGAAGTGGGGTGCACATGTTAATAATATCACAACTAAGGCGAAACAGACATTGGGAGTGATTAAACGTAATCTGTGGGCATGTCCAACGAGAGTAAAATCACTTGCATACACGTCACTTGTAAGACCGAACCTAGAATACGCTGCGACAGTATGGGATCCATATACAAAGACAGACAAAGACAAATTGGAAAGGGTACAGAATCAAGCTGCAAGATTCTGTATGAACAACTATGTAAGAGGTGCCAGTGTCACGGAAATGAAAAGAAACCTACAGTGGACCTCACTTGAAGACAGAAGAAAGATGTCTAGACTATGCATGATGTACAAAATGACTAATAAACTGGTGGATGTCCCAACTACTAAGTACCTAATACCAGCTCAGAAGAGAACAAGAAATAGCCACGCATTCAAGTACCAGAGTTATCAACCAAGGATTGAGGTGTTCAGGAATTCATTCTTTCCTAGAACTATCGCAGAGTGGAACTCACTGTCACCAAGTACAGTAGGGGCACTGTCAATAGATAGCTTTAAACAATGTCTAGAGCTAGAAGTTCAAGGGTTAGGTGTAACAAGTCGATCGGTGTAATATAGCCAGCTGCCGCCGCGCCGAGTGCCTGCGAAGCTGGTGTGTTACGCCGAAAGGCGGTTATACCGGCTATACAGATACAGATACAGATACAGATTGCACTGTATACCGTAAAATTGCACTGTATACTCTGGCACCCCTGGTCTCAGCACCAAGGCTCTGTTCTAGTGCTGCAACTCCCTCAGCATTTTCTCGGCACTCTGTTTCCAGTGCTGAAAGTTGTCTCAGCATAATCTCCAAGCAGATCATATGGTGCCAAGGCAGTATCCATTGGCCAGAGGAGTGTCAATGGCTAATAGACACTCCACTGGCCAATGGATACTGCTTTGCCACCGTATGATCTGCTTGGAGATTAGACTCATGATCAGCACTCGCTTTCCCAGTGCTGAGAGAAGTCCAGAAAAAACACTGCATGCCCAGTCATCATCCTTGCAATTTAGTTCTTTCCGGCCCTTAATGGGATAACATGAAGATGCCTAGGTAGAAGACGATGACTCTAAAATTATTATCCACTGAAAAATTACACCCATTTCCCAACTTCAGTGCTTCTTTATGTGCAACTGAATAGCTATCAAGTATTATTTCTATGTCTACAGAAAGCACAACACACAGGTTTTGATACATAGCCATATTCACAGCAAGTTTAATAATCCTTCTATTACAAAAATAACCAAAACCCTATGAAATTATGTCTATTCCACTGTTAGCCTTCCATGTTATATTTCTTTTGTTAAAGCAGGTCATAACCACTTTTGCCTGTACATATGTATATCACCCCAGTGGGGCACATATCAGTCTCTTATTACAATCATTATCCAAAAATATCAGATTCTTTGATCATTCACCATTCGTATGTTGTAGCACAACCACCATTCAACCCTTCCTTAACATATCTGTACATTTTGGCCAGCAGGTATAGATAACATTGCATATATGCATGAATATGTCATATTTCCACACTTTGTGTGTGATTTGTATATCGTTAACTATTACAATCAAGACAACATGAAACTAAAGGCGGCCATGTCCAAAATTCTGTACATAAGTAACAAAAGGACGTATACAAATTGAACCTCAATATTACCTCTATACATCTTACATTGTGCACACTGTGCAACACAACCAACAACTCAAAGTCATTGCCTTTTGGACATGTACTACGGTAACAAGACTTTTTTTCAACATCTTACCTATTTTGGTGTCTAACTGTTGCACAACGTGGATACCCTTCCTAGAATAAAGTGGCTCTAGACAATTTCTGCACCTATAATAAACTCTTCACCATTTCTGTCCTCTGTTAACCTCAAGCTATTGCTGCCTAGAAGAAAGCTAAACCTTAAGCTAAATATTTTTCTAACATGACGACATGAAACAGTGTTGTGCAACTGGAAACGTTTCCATTTGGTCCTGACAAAGACAGATTTTCATCTGTGCTTTAACCAATACTTCTTGTTTTTCAAATCTATATGTCTGTGTATTTTATATGATTGCAAACATGACATACTAGTACTGCTAATCATTATGAACAGTAACCCATTTATACCCCACAACATACAAATCACAGTCCTGTAGTAGTAATAAAACTATTGAAAGCCCTCGGTGATCATCACATGCATACCTTCCATACTATACTTTCAACAACTCTTCATTCTATATGTTTTGGATGAAACTGACAATTCCAGTAACATCACTTCACAAAGTCAACTTTCCTTTACTTTTCTCAATAATGGAGAAGTTCTTTAACTTCAAGCTGGCGTACAATCCTATTGAAAAAAATAAGAAGTTATAACCATTCCTTGGTATTTGCATCCATATATTTTCATCTCTCCAGCCTTATATACACATTTTAGAGACCAGTTCTATCATAAACCATATTTCGGTTGGTGTTCCCGAGAAAACGGACCAAGTTGGACTGTACGCCAGCATACACCCAGCAACACAACACAACAAAACCATACCTACTAAACATTCTTCAACTCACCTACAGTTAGCAAAGACAGTCTGAACCTATCAAGTTATTTTGCTTTATAAACAAGACATCTGTTTCCATACACAATGTCTTTTAATTACCCTAGAACCCTAGTTACCTTTCCTATCTAAGAACGCAAACCTTCGAAAATGGAAACAGAACCACTTCCTGCATTTTGTACCCTTCTGACATTTTGTTTGTTCAAAGATAATTAATTCTATTCCATCACTTTGAAAACCATGTTTTCAGGATTGAAGTGCTGTCTTTGTACACACAAAACAGGTTAACTGAGAACAAAAGTTTGACAACATCCAAAATGCCATAGCTACAGAACAGAACTTTTCCACATGAAGTATAGTGTACTGTCTTATCATGACCCTACATGTGGACTGGATATTTCTAACTGACAGTACACCTAAAAGGACTGAACATTTGAGTCAACAGGCCGATCCCAAAGCCCTGCCCACATCCGTCAGAAATGCAACATAAAAACATGGAAAACGATAATGTTTGACCGAAATGTAGCCGCTCTCTCATTGGTTTGCCGCTTCTCATGGGCTAAACTGCTAATTGTGATGTACACACTTTGCACCTTCTCATAACCAAACTTGAATCAGAATGTGACATCTGACAAGAGAAGGGCTAGAGACATCACTGGGAGGGGGAAGCTTTGGCCCCGTCAACATCCAGTTCCTGATAGCTAGTGCTAATGTTATCATAAATTTTTTCTTGTTTTAGTCCAGTAATAGCTTTTGTTTATTAATAATGGCAACCAATTGCAATATACAGTTTACAAGTACATTTGGCAATATAGTAGCTCTATATATGTGTAGTTCAGAAGAACATGCTGTGCTTTCTTGTTGTGGTGGTGAAGACTTGGATATGTTGTGTAGTGCTGCGTTCTCCCATGTAGTAGAGTCGGCCTACATGGTTTTGGAGCCGTCCTTTTTGTTGATGAGAGCTTCGACCAGCTTCAAACTTTGTTTAACAGTCTGCAAGAGGCATACAGAAACAAAAAACATCAAGTTAGTTTGTTTACTGGTATGTTATGCCTATATAAGGGTAAATGTTTACCAGTTATACAAAACAAATGAAAACAAATACTTGCTCACCTTGTAAGCTTTGTACTCGGATGACATGTCTCCTCTGTCCTCTTTTGTGATTTTCCTGAGGATGTATGATTGGAATGAAAAGGTTAGACAAAGGCAGAAAAGCCATTTCCCCAGCTATCCTTCACAACACATATTTGAGATATATGTACAGTAACAGTAACAGTGAAATTTAAAAGGTTTGAATGTTCCAGCATTTACTGTTAACCTTCAGTCTGCTAAGGCGGGCATTTGTATTTGTTATAGGGTTACACGGCGGGGAGAAGGTTAGAGGGAAACTTAACTCCAGAAATGAGCCCTTTTTCTTCAGATATTTTTTTCTAAATAAAAATAAATGCATTTGGCAACATGACATTGCATTTGCCAGCAGATGGATTATACAGTACTATTGAGATTCCCCCCCCCCTCACAAAACTTACCGTCCATGTTGTGTGAAGAAGTCATCCTCAAACCTCTTGAGCACAGCCCTGAGTCTCTTCTTCTCCAGCCTCAGTTTCTTCAGATGGTCCAGCAGTTCTTGTCTGGAGTTAACAGTAACAAGGAATCCATCAATATACACCAGAGTAGGAGACAATATACAGGTATATTTCAGCCTATCCTGTTCCTATCTGATTGTAACTTATATGACTCACTGACTCACTCACTCACTCACTCACTCACTCACTCACTCACTCACTCACTCACTCACTCACTCACTCACTCACTCACTCACTCACTCACTCACACAAGCAAGCAAACCAGCAAGCAAGCAAAAAAAAAAAAAACCACTATGTACAAAACCTCCATACCCAGAGGTAACAAAGGGACTTACAGGCTAGCTTGGTGCAGTGTCTCTGAGGTGAACTCGTTCTCATTGGTTCCCTCGCCGTTCTGGTCAGCCTCCTCATCTTCCTCCTCCTCCCGAGTCTCTTGGAGAAGTCCAAAGTTTTGGGTCACCGTGAAGTCAGTAGTAGTCATGGTGCTACTGATACCATCATCCTGAGGTGGGCCAAACGTCAGACAAAATATGTGTCATTTCCTTCATGTTCAAATTATGTTTGGTTCAGTTCAAGCAGAACAAAATCACAAAATAAAGTTAAAAATATTTTAATTAAAATGTTCAGTTCGGATCATTTATAAGTATGAATGGAAAGTCACTATTCATGACATAAATATAAAGCATACCTTTGGAGGGGTCTGTTGGAATTCCATCATCATTCCTTCCTCTATTGTTTCCAAATTTCTAAGGTCCTGCAAGCAAGGAAACAACACATAAACATCAGAAAAGACTCTGTGAGACAACAAGAAAAAGGATGCTACAATACTTAAAGCAAACATCAGTTCCTTGAAGAAACATGCTGGGTCACCTTCAGGAACCTCCTTATCAATCAACTGTCAAAATCACCTCCCATCGATCATGGCACGGAAAGCACTTAGGACTGACAAAAAACAAACTCATGAACTTGGCCACCCAAACCAATACTTCCGTATGTAACAAGTAGGCAAAATGTAAGAAAGACTTACCCCGAGTGATGGCGGCTTGGAGAGGAATTTCTTGATCTGTCGGTATCTTTCATACAGTGGACGCACAATGTCTTTCTCAACCTTAGATGTCTACAAGATAGACATAAGAAAAAAAAGCAACAACGCTGTCAAAACATTGGCCATGAACTGTAAACATGTTTCAGATATACATTGTCATATCATATGATCATCTTACGTTTTTATAGTCAATGTCAGAAATTACGTAATCTACATAAATAAGGTGAAGCTCAACTATAAAAAAAATCAAAATGACATAAGTTTGTAGTTAAATCATATGAAGTCTTCAACACATGATTGTACACTATATACTGTATTTAGAATCACAGTCACTATTATCTAGTCAAAAAGAGTGCACAAAGGACCCATGCCTTTTCTGCACAGACAACTTACAGGTCTTCCATGAGTGGACTCAAGGTGCAAGAGCTCTTTCTGCATGGCCACTTTCTCCTCACGAAGCTCATCCATGGTCAATCTCTGTACCAAATGCCAACATGCCTCTCAGTCAGGGCCAGATAGAAGCCACGTCTGGCCACTCAGTTTGTGCACTATACCCTACTCTTAACCTCAACTCTACAGCATTTCCAACAACCTTTAATACAGTCAACAGTAACCTCACAGAAAGGTCTTTCTCTGCATTCTACAAACATCAAACCTGGCAAAAATGTAGATGACAAAGTTCTCTGACGATGGCAACCACTTGAATAGCATGGTTAAGCACACAAGAACAAAACAAATTCTCTGCTATACGTACAACACTACAAAGGCAATCAGAAATGACATCCATTACAAGTATAGAAAACCCTCTCCTTACAAGCTAATAGGTTACACTAGCTAGACCTGTCTATATAAACATAACAAAACTCAATGGTACGTTTGTTGAATACAACAGCCTACCTCTAGCTCTTCCGGTCTGTCTGCATCCTCCCTCTTCTCGGCCAGGACATGGAGGGCGTGATTGAGGGACCCCCTCAGAGCGCTCAGGGGGCAGTCTGGGTCCCCATCCCCCCCTCCCACAGGGTAGTTCAACTTGGTGGGGAGGGTCTTACTCAGAGAGTGTCTCTCCTCTAAAAGACAAACACATTTCATCAGATTATCATCATGAAAGTTCATCTGTGTTGATAGTGTCTGTATCTGCAACTCTTACGAGATTACGTTTTGTAGTGATTGGTCATTAACTATCTTAATGAAGGCGACAGTGGTTGTTGAAAATTTGATCTCTGTGTTGGAATAAAGTTCAACAGTTTACTAACATTTCATCAGATTATGTCTATACTAAAGCATGGGAGAAATAGAAGTCGTAGATGAAAGCACCTCAGACGTCACCATGACTGAATGTCAGTTTATATCTAAGACAAGACCAACACCCACCTCTTGCCCGGTCCTTGATATCTAGAAAATAAGACAGAGAAAAACCCAAATCAGGCATTCCGTCAAGTTAAGAGGTTAACACTATCTCCACACAAGTAGCTTGAAAGTGGAAGGACATGAACGAAAATGAAAATTAGGACCTCTTGACAGAGTTTGAATTACCTTTCAGGTCTTTCTTAGCCTTTGACAAATCGTTGACTATTTTTCTGATGTCAGTTCTGCCCATCTTGTCTGCATGCGAGGGCTGAAGGGTAGACACAAACACCATAGAGATGATTATAATACTGAACTTATCAAAATGAAAACACTTCAGAATTTGAACTTGAGGAAGGAGCACTAAAAATGGGGCACAACTTACTCTGTATCCTTTCTCCTCTTCAAATTGTGTCTCAAATCTTCGAACTTTCTTTTTCAGACCTGGAAAGAGCAATGAGTATGAACTACATGTAATTAAGGACCTGAACCATTGCACCAATATGACATGTAAAACAATCAAACAATGAACTAGAAAGTGATGATGACGGCTTCAATTAGAAGATGACTTACTGTGAATTCTTTTGGTCAGGTCTCGAATTTCCTTGTCTTCTGTGGTCATACTGTAGTACATAAGAAACATGTCCTGGTTATCTACATGTGATACCACTGGTGCACAATCATAGATACTACGAATGTCGCATCAGGGGAAAAGCAATGCTGTGGTATGCACAAGGAACAAGTACGATGCAGTATCAATTTCATTGTACATTATTTTTGTAATAACTCATTGACAATTAAAACCAACTAAATCCATGTTTTCATCATGATAGCTTGGCAAAAATATCCATCCATATACACATACTATTTCATCCCCTCTACATGTGTACATCAACTCAGCAAAAACATCAACCAATAACTGTTCCGTAACTTTGTGGTATGTCCCGAATGGGGTTTGAACTCACAACCTCCCAAATGCACAACGACAACTTGTCTGACTGAAGGAAACAGGAACTTATTAGGCATACCTGTGCATGTGTGATGCTGGGGGAGATGGGGGGATGTCCACATCAGCAGGAGCGCTGCAAGAGAAACAGAACACAACCATTTACAACAGACTATACGGTACACTTTATGTGTAGGCAGTGGAACAATCCAATAGTGACATGATATTAAATGTACATGTGTAGCTGTAGACACACAAAGAAGTTGCAAGGCAGAAAAACACACAACGTAAATAACACTGCAAGGACACAGTTGCTGCAGGACAATATAATCATGACTTATTAACATCATTCCTGGACAATAAAAATGATTACAGCTTTCAGTGGGAAAGAAAAATGTTATTTGTCATTATATGATGTTAGTAATTAATTACATCAGCCTACACAAAATTGCAGATCACACAATCACGATGATCCAAGTTATTCCTTCCTGAAACAACACTGTTCATTAGCTGGGATGATGAAAATGCGCTTGTTGAATCAGAAAGCTTTTTACTTTCAGGTAAGGAAGTATTGTTTTGGGTGGCTTAGCTGTGGGTTTGTATGTCTGTTTGTCACAGAGATTGACGGCATGTGGTTGGGAGAAGATTGACAGGTCTAGGCAGAATGACAGGTCAAAAGGTCAGACACAGGAAATGGGGTGAACTTGAGGGTCATAAAAATCCAAAGTACTGGAAGTCTGAAATCTCTGACCATCTTATTCATAAAGAGAGTTGAGCTGCTTGGCCAAGTGCTGATTAATTATGGATGAAACAAAGAAATTTCAGGAGGGCAGTACCAGGTTAGGAGAAATGTCTTGAAGAACTATGCTCATATCTGTCTTTCTGAGTTGATACCCACCAAGCTCCAATCAAGGAGACAAATAGAAATGCAGAATGCATTACACAGACATTTGTACATGGAGTAGAAAAGAGACTACTGAAGGAAACAGGGACAAAAGTTCTCAGTGGAACAAAATGTTCAGGCAGAACCAGATCACAGCTGCATTTATGTAAACATTTGGTGATAGGCTAGAAACAGAGTTAACATTCATTCTGATTGTTAGAAAGAATTTTTGGGAAGCACAGTAGAGTGACAGAAGGTTAGATGAGTAATGTGTGATGGGCTATATAAAGGACTTTAAAATATTACTGATACATGAAAGCTACCAGTACTACAAGATTACAATATTAGAAAGTCTATAGTTCATTTTTATCTGCTAATCTAAAATCAATATCATAATGAATGAGCATGAGTTATGATGATTGAAATGCATATTAGAAAATTTAATAATGATATTTGGGTATACTGAATTGAATAGGTACTTTGACATTTAGGTTAAGAAGAAGAAATGTAACTAGAAGAGTTGGAAGTTTTGTCCGGTAGTCACCTTTGAAGGAACGGAAGGGGACGTAACACACTTGGAGACAGAGGGGCTTCAAAGTCGGCGTCCATACCATGGTGGATGGGCACACCATGGTGGATGGGGATGGGACTGCTGCTTGTGACAGAAACAACCTACAGTCAGGGTCTACAGTGTATCCTTCCTCCCAACAACAGTGGTTACCCTGCCAGTCTCCAATGTGTGGGTGCAATGTGAGTCAGATCCAATAGGGGGCACTTCTTGCTGAGAAGTTTACTACCATCAGCCTTCAGAATTCGTCAAATTGTTCCAAAATTCATGAACTGTTTACATCTAGACTCTAAACCAAGTCCTTGGGATATCTCAAAAGAACATCATGACTTCCACATTTAAATTGTCCTGCTGCAGAATGCAGTTGGAGTCAGATATGGTAGGGGTGCTTATGGCTAAGTGCTACACTAAGCATTGCCACATGGCACTTACACTTGCCTTCATGTTTTCAAGGTCTTCATCACGTCGAAAAAGAGCTTTTACATATTATATTTGATACAACTGTTGTGTGACAGAGTTTGATTAGTAAATTGACTGTTGCATGTGACCACTGCTTGTCGTAGCCCTCTTCCACCCAATTTTGCACATTGGTAACCACTGTGTTTTCCTCGCCTTTACCTCCATTCAGTACTAACATGCTTGTTAATCTTTTTAAACTACAGATAGGTTAATATCTGGTTAGTTGTTTAGTTACAGGCCAGAGCGGCTAGCAGTATTAGAAGCAGTATATCTCCTTCAGAACAAGGACCAAGTGCAAGGTCCCTTTGAAAGATGTTGACATCAACAAGCTTATTCATATGTTTATTTTACTGCAAAGCATATTTGCAGTCTGTGGCAAAATCACTGAACTGCAAAAAGGCAAGACTTAATAACAGCAAGCAAAAAGCAACATACATGTAGGTCTTTTCATGGATCTCATTGCATGCTGGGAGGCATGAGGCACTATGGGTAATATGGGAGGCAAACTTTGTTACCCACAGTGCCCTGCCTCTCCCAGCAGCCAATGAAACCAGTGAAAATGTCTACAGGCTGATGATTGACATGACATGTGCTTACCTGTGCCCAGTGCTGTGTTGGCGTTTCTTCAGTTTGGTGGAGCGGGGTGACAAAGTGGCCTCCTCCTCTTCCTTCAGGGAGTGATGCCACATGCCAGCAGGGATCGGCTCTGAACACAACAGTGATACACGTATTACGGATGTACTTGACTCTGGTCAAGTTGACAGGAACTTCGCAAGTGTATGAATTCTGGATATAACTATGGAGAACAATACAACACAAATGTTCTACATGTAATACTACCGGTAATAGAAGAAAGACCTGCATAACACATGTAGCACTAGCTGGTAATCAAAGACAGGAATAACCTTTTGAGATAACTTTTTCTGGGATCTTTGACCTAGGTTCCGTGTCTGTGGCATGTCTAGCATGTGAAAATTACTATGAAAACACAAACACACAAACAGGCATACCAAAAACAAAACTTACACTGTACACGGAGGTAATTGATTTACAGTACGCTGCTTAAATAATACAGAAACTAGAGCAGCTGCCTACCGTCCCCATCACCATGTTCATGGAGGCTGGCCAGGTCCAAGGGTGGGACGATATTCTGCAACAAAAACAGGAGAAATTGGTTTTATTACAACCAGAAAAAGGCAATTCACTCTGGTGTCTGGCTCTGGTTCCTCTCCAACAACATTCAACCTTTTTTTTTACATAATAACAGCTTTCAAGAGCTATCAAAACTCCATTTCCTCTGCCGGCATTACCTGTTCTCTAACTACTGTACTTCATACAGAGAAGCCAGTGCCAAGTACTGGCTCTCCAGTCTCTAATGGCTGTATCTTCAACATTATATATGATCATAGCATACTTGTCTAAGAGCTAAGATGACATTTCAAAGTCCACTTATAAATGCACTTCAGACAGAACCAATTTAACCATTTTTTTGCCTTCCCAGGCCTTTTCCAGGTCCACCAGCGCCTAGGCAAAGTACTGATGCCTTTTTTTTGTTAACCCTTTTTAGAACATATTTTAGAACTCATGTCAGTTACCTTTTGTTTATTTAGAACACTCTTTAGAACAACTTGTTATTTGTTTTGTTTATTCAGAACCTTTGTTTCTCGTTCTGAAAATCCTATGTAAACATTTCACTGATGAGTCTTTCTGATTCAAGCATGCGGCTTATACTTCCTAAAATTCTTATCATAAAATATCCCCCTCCTCCCGACGTGAGTGCTGGTTCTGAACCCACCTCTATGTCCTCAGGACTGGTGTCCTCATGCTTGGCAGGCTGTACTCTCTTTGGTTGTTCTTCCATCTTGACTTCCTCGATGTCTTCCTCGCTTATTCTCTGCACAAATGTGTCCTCTTCCTGGTCCTCCCCCCTAGAAAACAGGAAGCCAAACTTTTATAGACAATTCTTTAAGAATTGTTTAATGTAAACTCTTCCCCAGAGGCTAATTGCAAGTAGAAAAAGAACATTTAATAAAGAAAAAAACATTAACAATGGTAACAATATTCTAAATCTAGAACAAGAAACCTAACTCCTAAATATACTGGGTTTGACTTCTCTCTTTTTTGAAAGATGAAGACAAAAGTGACTTCTTTATCATTGAAACAGACAAATGATCCCGCTTTTTCTGTAGTGTGTGCTTTCAAATCTTAAGAAATTAGGGCAGTTTCCTTTTTATCTGTAAGATAGGGTAGAATTTGGTGGCTTCATCTAAAATCTCACTTCTTTTGTGGCCATAGAAAGTACAGCTTGAAAAAAAAGTGTTCTACAGGACCTACAGGATTTGCAGATTCTTTCCCACACTTGTAACATTTTATATTGTCCTCTTTCTACTCTCATACAAAGGTAGATATATCATACGGCAATTAGCGAGCACTTGAGAGAAATAATTGCCGCAGCCAGCGCTGCATCATTACATCTACCAACAGTCCCATTATCTGCAGGATGTAGGCACTTGAAGCGAAGGAAATGGAGCGCTAATGATCCATTTTACATTCTTCAGCCTCAAGTACTTATGGAAAAATACCCTCAGCTAGCACTGGCACCGCATGGAAGCCCTACGAGTCCAATCATATTTAGGAAGACTTCGGATTGCTACAGTACTTGATTTGAAACTTATCTCCTGCAGCATATGACAATTAGGAGGAATCTGCCAAAGAAGTGGAAGATGGCTCATTAGTACACCAGTTTGAGAATACAAAGATGCATTCCTTCTTCCTGAATATGACTGGATTCATAGATCTTCTGCCATGGGATGTTGGCTGTCACAATTTTCATGTTCATACTGAGTACAAAAGTTGGTCTACCAGTATAAGCAAATGATATTTTAGCAAACCACTGTGCTATGTGTAGTAAGGGCTATTCAAATGTTCAAATTCCAATTCCAAATTGCACTTACTTCGATTTTCGAGATGGTTTCCTTCTCTTTGGTGCGGAAGCTCTGTTCACTGTTAGCTGAAACAATCATGATGACAATAATTTCAATATTTCAGTGTTAATCAACATGGCAATTGTTGTGGTCAGCTTGATTAATCTGTAAGGAAAAAATGATGTAGGAAGTCATTTACTGGTGTGAACAACATAATGCCTAATTTACATAAGGGTTTTATCCTATGAAGATGGCTTGTAAGGTTCAAATGTAAATTGTTACAGCTTGTCAATAGTTTAAGAGCTTGCCCAACATTATCAGAATGAAAAGGGAAAAATAAGTAAAACAAACTTACAGAAGATAAGGGCTCACAACTGTCAAGAGTTGGGAAGACATCATCACTGTCATCAAAGTCATCTGATTCCACATGTTTCTTCACCTCTAGTGACCTTGGGAGAGGAGGAACATTCTTTCAGTTAGACAAGTTGTCCAATTATTCTATGCACTTTGGATAATTTCTACTTGAAAGCAAGAAAAGTTTCCACTGAGGGCTCTTTCATGCAAAACAAGAAATCAGACTTTTGGGAAGAATTATGGGTCTTCATGTAATTTAATCAGGTATTACCCCACTTCCTGAATTCCTCCACATACCACCCATATGTGTACTTCCTTTCAGGCTTGAACTTCCTATTAATCAACAGTTGAGATCACCTCTCACTCTACACCACTGTCGCTACTTGGACAAACAGACACAAAACCCCACAACTCGGCCACCAAAAAACAATACTTCTGTATACGTCCAGGAGGTAACAAAGTCCACTGTACCTGCGAGGGCTGGGTGTGGGAGCGTCCTCCACCCGAAGCCTGGGACTACTGGTGCTCCGTGGTCTGGGAACTGGCCGTTCCTTGGGGTTACTCAGTGTTGTTGTGTCGTCTTCAGCGTGAGGTATGGTGATTGCCATTGCAACTGGTTCTTCTTCCATAGTCTCCTAGAGAGAGAGAGAGAAAAATTAAAGGAAAGCACTTTTCAGTAAGAAATCTGCAGGAAATTTAACATTCTACCAACACAGATGAACTTTCATGAAAATTAACAAATATTTTATGGCATTTTCACACATTTTCTTTATCAATGAATCAGGCAGGTGCTAAGCGCCATGTAGGTGGTGGATCCAGTGATGATTTTAAACGAAAACCCTCCATTAAAAAAATTTAAAGCTGACACTGGTCCCTTGTTTTTATACGCAATACACTTTCCTCAGAGTACAGTAAAAAGTACAGTTTTTAATGCTTAAGAAAAGAGCAAAGAAAATGACTGACCTCTTCGCGAGGCTCTTGCGTTTCGAAAAGTTCAAAGGCTTGAGAATTTGGTCTCTGTCGTCTCGGACGGGCTGCTGGCCTGTCGTCGCCGACGGGCGCGGAGCTTTGGTCCACGTCAAAAATCTTGACCTTCTCCTGGAAGGACAATGTGGCTGATATGTCTTCTTCTTCAGCTGCCTGCAAACTACGGGACAGAGAAACAAACCTGTTATATAAGTAGCTATTCATGTCCCGAAATCTGGGTCTACCGTAATCATTGGTAATTAAAGCATGCTGCTATATATGGGTTCATTTTCTGCACATAAGTGCGCGGTACTATTTCCATCATCCTAAAGGTAAGTACGTCCAATTTGCCAAGACTGCATCTCTTTCATGAAGAAAGTGTAATGATGGAAATCCACTAGGATTGCATCAAAGTTAAAAAATACAATGTTACAAGCTGCACAAGGTTTGGGCTTGATAAACAAGTCTATTAAAGTACCCTACCATATTAATGATAAGACAAGACTGGCTAAAATAGTGATGAAATGTGGTCTATTACAGATAATGTTGGAATGAAGATGGAAGACCACACCTTTGGTTTTTAAAATGATTATCAAATATAGACATTCCGATCCACTCTTCCTGCAACCATCTCTACTGGACAAGCATACACACAAACCCACAGGCAAACCTACCCAAAACAATGAGAAAATTTATTGCAAATCCACGCCCGAGGGCTAATTGCAAGAACATGATAACAACAATAAACAGTAAAAATGATAATAAGTAATGCTAATGCTACTTTAGATATACATTTGTAGTTATTGTTGCTCCATTAGATGTTGCTCCTCTGTAGATATTGTAGCTATTTAACAATACCTCCATACCCACAAGTAATCAATACAAAGAATTGTCTCACCTATCTACTTTATCAACTGGGCCTCTATTGTTACTGTCCTCTGGGATATATTCTTCTGATGACTCGGTGTCGTGTCTTCTGTCTTCCTCGAGTTTCTTCTGGCGTCTACGCCGCCTAGGAGTTGGCACTGGAGCTGGAAGTTAAATGTTGGAAGAGTTCATACTTTATTTGAATATGTAATTTTAATATGAAAAGTTTTTGACGTCATTCCCTAGCAAAGAGGTTTTAGCAATTAAAAATAAAAGATTATTTGTGAATTTATTGGCATGACCAAGAGATGGTCTGACATACTTTCAATGTGCCTAATAGGACAGAACCCTTGTTGTAAACAAGCCCTTAGGCCACACCAATTTAATTTCTTGGTTAACAGATTTTTCTAGAAAAATAATGGAGCGGGCGGGCGAAAAATAAATAAAAATAAAAACAGCCCTAGGCATCCTATTATGGCCCAAAATGGTAGGATAGGAGCCATAAAGTCAACACACCAGGCTGGTTCAAAATTTAAACAATGAATTTTGAACTTTTAATGATACCACTGCATTGAAAGATGGAACAACTGTAACAACTAGGATGAAAAGGACTTGAAATACTCTGTGCATATGCATTTTTGTGCACCCAAAATTTGAGCTGTGTGACTACATGTATTTCTTAGCTGTGCTGAGGTAACCAAATCCCCTGCCACTCTACTAAATTCTAAACACAAGCAAACAACCACACAACCAAAAACGATTATGTATAACCTCCATACATGTACATGTAACTTGTCCTTCGCCAAGTCTACTGTAAACTTAATCAGCAATTTACAATATACCAGCAAGATGTATCATAGGTCTTCTTACCATCTTTAGGAGAATCTAGTGGGTCGTTGAGGCTGACATCCAGTCCCTGGAGAGTGGTGTCCAGCTCCACTGGTGCACTGCCCTCCGAGCTACTGCTGTTCCCAAACATGTGCTTGGTCACCGTCTCATGGATGGTCTGCTCCACAACCCTGTACACCACACCACAGCAGTTACAAACATCGTCACACAACAGCATTTTGTATTCTCCTCCAACCATCCCGCGTCATGCATTATGTATGTCGGAAATTTTCGCTGCAATTATGGCAGTAGGCAGTTTTAGAGCTAATACATGGATGTGATGTATGCTGACTTGATACAGGAACTGGATTGTTCCCTTGGACACGTTCCAACATATCTGTCAACTAGACCAGTCTAGACCGGTATTCAAAAGGCCAAGGTAATCACTGATACCATGTGCAAGCTATTACATGTAAAAGTGTACTACTGTAACAACTTCTTGTATCCAAATTTATGGACAACTATAATACTTGGTTCAGGGTCCTGAACCCAATTCCTCTGCATTGATTTCTTTGGGGATGCTGGCAAAAACATATAATAAATATTGGCATACGACCGTGCTTGGCAATTGCACAATGAATTGCAAAACATTGCATCATCCCAAAATGTAATACTATATTTACATGTAAGCAGTTATTACAATACAGTCATTGCAGTCATAGCATACATAACTTTCTTTACATACAAACAGTACTGTACTAGAGAAGTTTGAAATATTTTCTAGCCAATGCAATACAATATACATACTGGTTATCAAAATGACTTAAGACTTACATGTACATATTAAAAAAATTGTATGCTTTTTTTCTTCAAGCATAGTCAAAAGAAAAGACTGGCATTCCAAAGTGAAATCAAAGACAGCATAAAGTCTAAATCAGAGAAGGCACTTACTCTTGAACAAACGAGCCAACAATGGGTGAATAAGTGGTGGCATCACTGAGGGAAAGAAACCATACAGAAGTGCACTGTTAATTCCCTAGAAGTGATGGTTATGCAGTGCTGCAGTCTTATCTAATTGAAACACAGTACTGTAATGTGCCAGTAGGAGAACATATCAAACAGCAGAACCACAACATAAAAACAGTAACTATACAAGTACGTGCAGTCTCCAAGTAGATTTAGGGATCAGCTCAGTGCTTTCCACATTTTTGAAACTTTGTGTAAGTCTTTCTGGCTGGTCTAGCTGGATATTTATACATGTAACGTTATATCTTCCCCCCAAGCCAACACAGAAAAACATGGACCACAAGAAAAACATATAAAAGCCTCAAAAACAGGCAAAATACATAGAGCCAAACCCTACATCTGCTTGGAGATTTACTGCATACGTGTGTATGTGTTTGAAAACTCCATCTATAACCCCTGCATTATTGAAATTCTATGACCTACGATGTACAACATAAATATTCTTTAGCTATTGAGAAATATCTACATGTAGCTGGGACTTCAAAATTCCATCCCATGCCCTTAGGATTAATAATGATGAAAAATGGCTTTCTCAAGTAATCAACTAGATGAGATAAAATGATCAGACTATGTCTGGGCCTTAAATAACCATAATGCACATGTCTTAATCAAAATTGCGTTTGAGTATTACAGTTGCACATCTCTAAAATCATGGCAGCTATATATAGCTAAAACCAACAAGGCAATTTTGCCTGTGACTGCAAATTTTAACAATGTATGATTTAGCAATGTGAACTATTCAAAATTGCTCTACACAAATGTACCAACCTGGACTCACATGTAACAGCGTAATGTTTACAATTTAACATGCAATCAGAATACTACCCATTCAATAGAATCTTGCCTTTTTCAAAACAGAATGTTTAAAATTACGTGGGAGACCGTTTCAAGACTCTACCCACCTGTCATAAACAAATGGAGACTCGCTTCTGTCATCTTCTATAGAGCTCGTGCTGCAAGACACCAGAATGGGATAAATGAGCGACGGAGGGAATTCAGCGCACAGCTCTTGGTTAATATGACTTCCCAGCCTCATGGTGATTACCGGGCACAAATTATGTGATAGTGGCAGCCCCAGTAACCAAGAAAAATGGCCCCAGGCAGTGTCAATTACATCAAGCAGTATTTTTGTGAGGGAAGCATGTGGATATGGCATGACCGTGACTTACCTGGCTAACACAAGGGATTTGCTTGTTTAACATCACTATCATTTCTTCTGAATTAGAGAAGGTGGAGGAAAGCTACATTTGTGTAAACATTCTTGATGATATTTAGACAAACTGTGTAGAATGATGGTCTTCAGGTAACAGATAACGACTGATGTTAGCTTCACGTAACGTAACTACATGCATACAGTAAGTATTGATGTGAACCAGCAAGCAACCTGACCCTTGCACGAGCTTCAGTTCCAAAAGTCTCATGTTTCTGGCTGGAATGGGGGCGGGGGTGTTCTGGGTCAATCTGATATCAGAACAACCAGACTCATCACAAATCAAGGCCATGTCCGATATATGGTCAACTTTGACACATATTACATTGGTGAATAAAATTTATAAGAGTGACTGATCCCTTTATTGTACAAATAAAACAAGACATCATTGATTTCATCTTCAGGGAAGTATGCAATCCTTGGCTTTTTGATTTCTCCCATCTATGTTGTCTTGTCATTGCATTACTACAGTAGCTGTTTCAAATGTGAACTTGAAACCCTGAAATGCCTACTGTGAAATTGAGTCTCAGGTAACTTCAGTCAACATTCATATGTTGTAGCGACAAGGGACTTTGTTGAAAAATTATCCACAACACATGTTGAAAAATGTACATGCAAAGACAACTACTTTTTTCACACCCTGGCATTAGCACTGAGGTTTTTAGAGGATGTTATCCATGACATCAAATTTGCCTTGCCACACATTCGGTTGAATAATGTTGGTTGGGACATGCAAGGTTACGGCTTGCGTCAGTGCACCGGGCTGATTTGCTACGGGTTTTAAGTGGATGTGAGAATTCCACAGTTTTTTTCATCTACCCTACAGAGTGGTATCACCATTTGCAGATGAATTGCAACCAAGGCCTTGGCTTGAATAATAATATTCTTGAGGTTCAAGTATAACGTCTCTGTGGCTGGATGTTTTACAACTATTCTTAACCACACCAATGGAGTCAGTTGCGCATTAACAGAATGAGTGGATGTAGGGATTCAAATCTAAATTTTCCATTCAATGTAACACAGATATCATTTTTTATAAAAAATCTAAATATGAATGAAATTTGAGCAGTGCATAATAGTAATACAGTTGTAGAACACAGAAGAAATATTCTAAACACAAAAAATCAATGTGTGATGCATACCTTGCCCTGAGATAATCCTTGGTGGTCCCAGAAGCATCTACAATGTTTATCTGTACATTGTGGTTGCTGTCCTCATATTTGGCACTGTTGTAAACTTTTGGCTGGTCTTCACTTGCACCCTGTGGACAAAGATAACAGCTTATATTAGCCTTAATAGGCATTGACCTCAGTGATAATTTCTACAAATTTACTCCCCCTTTTCACTAGAGGCTGTGACCAATGTGCGATCAAGGATCTGACAGATCACTCAATGATTTTTTTTTTACATACTGTGTGTTTTGTTGTCTTTTAAGTCAAGACTTATGCATCTGCATATATGAAGTGGAATATGTCCAAGGGTCTCACAAATCTAGTTTTGGTTGGATGTTTGTGTCCCATTATAAAAACCCCCTAGGTCCTTGAATTGTAGAGACAGAAGAGTGTCCACCACCTGGCCATTACGGGAAGCCTCCTCTTCTTCAGCCTTCCTTTTAAGGGCCTCTTTGTAAGTGGGGTTGGGCCTAGGGGGAGGGGTCTTCCTTTCCTTCACCTGAGCCACCAACCAAGGGACAGCCAGGCCAAAGAAGAATTAGAAATGCTCACAATGTCCATTCAATTTGCATGATTGGGACATCACAAAGCTAAATTGTTTAGCAGATTAAGCAGTACAGGTTTTGAAAGAAAGAAAGAAGTACAGGAAGGTATCTTCATCAAGTTTAAGTTAGTGATGACACAGGAAAGGGATGAAGTAGATAGGAAGAATCTAGACATCATTGCGTTTCATTTGTACAAAGTTTAGAGAAAGCAAGATTAAGCATTCGGGGCCAGTGTATAATCTATGTTTAGACTACATTAAAGCCTGCTACCAAATCAAACATACCTGGATACACTTTGATGAGTAAGGTGAAGTTTCACCCTCCTCCAACAGTAGTTCATCGTAGTCGTCTATAAACCTCTTGACTATCTGGTTGGTGATGCCCTGTTCTCTCAGGCCTGCCACGCCATCAGGACACCTGCCAGAAACATTCCACAGTTACAGCTGCCCCGCATGGAATAAGTAGCCCATTATATGGGCCACAATAACTTAATTAAACAAAAGGAAATCTGCAAAATCTAATTACAAACCTTACTACCTCTGTTCAGAACTTGATCTGAAATTCTTGAGCTAACTTCAAAATTTTAAACGGGTAATACACCAAAGGATATAATACTTTTTCTGACACTTAGAAGTCAAGAATATACTGTATACTGGTGTAAAATTATTACTACCTTTACATACATAATCCTTCACAAATTTATTATCAAGGAGCACCAGTGCACCCAAAAATTAGGTGCATAGCTCCAATTTTGGGTGCACAAAATTTCCAGCCATGACAATGTATAGCCAAATGACAGGTATGTATCTTGCCACAATGACATGATGCTGTTAGAACATGACAGACAAGTCTCTGTCACAAGGTAAAGGTAATCTGACGTACTTGAAGAGGTTGGGACCGAAGACAATGGCCAGCTGCATGGAGCCCATCTTGTTGGTGTCCTGTTGAGATGAAACCTTGACTAGGAACTGGATAAGGTACTTCAGCAGACTGTAGTGCTCAGATGGTAGCTTATCGATCAGCAGTCTGCCAACAAAAAATAACGCAAATGTTAGCACTATCAGCAGTCCCTATTGACTTGGCAAGTGTGAACCAGTAGAATCTAGCTGATAGGATGGACGTATAAATCTTAAAAGTCTGCCTCTGGAATGACCCTAGCAATAAATCAAGCTTTTAAACAATGAAATAACTTATTTTCAGGACATCTTTTGATCTTGGCTGAACTATACTATCTATCAACAGGCTGTTATGATAGAAACTTGTTGTGAATTTGCCAGGTCTACCAAAATAAATCCAAACGACCCAAAGGAAATAAGTTCTCTTGACGTCAGAGACAGAGGAACAGACATCCACCGTGAAACAAGGTTATCCAGGCAAAAGTACTTAAATGGTTCTGACATGTTAAGATTCTAGCCTTGCCCTTTTGGACATGAATGGATCGATACAGTGACGTCATTCTGTATCCATCAGTCAGCTTATCAGAGAAGCACAAAATGGCTTTGTGTCACATTGATTTAGTACGGTATGTCAGAAAGGCTACAAGAATCAAAGATTTCAAACTTCTGGGAAGTACTCTCATATCAATTAGGATTTGCCACGGTCAATATTGACCAACGGAGGCCATATATATAGAAAAGTGTAGATAGGGTTTTCATAGATTCATTGGAACCCTCCTCACGTTGAAATGGCTAAGGTCTGACCAAAGTGTTGTTGGTTGCTGTACTGATATAGCATTTTAAATCTTCATAATCTACATACTCATAAAGTAGATGAGATGAATATTTTACCTGAGTTGTCGTCTACACTCCACTGGATCGTTCAGGAAATCTGCAACACAGAGAAAACGGAGAATGAAGGACATGTGGCAACACTTCCTCTTGTAAAGTTTTGTCTGGCAAGGCTACCACGAAAACTGAACTTGTCAACAGGAGCGTCTCATAATTTGGTAACAAGCACTGTAACAAATACACCTACCCCACAGAAAGAATATCAGCTGTGCTTCTTCCAATTGCACGGTAGAAGGGCCGTTGTACTTGTACAGTGATGTATTACTTTTTACACACTGACAGTCCATTAAAAATGTCGAGTTCTGAACATGTAACAAACAACTAAACATATATGGGTTTACCCTTATCTTTTGGACAAACCACTTTCTTTTAAGGGGGAGGATCATAAATATAGTTTAATGTTTCCATGCACATTGTGAGATTATTGTTCAAGATTTGTTTTGCTGTTTTATACTTACAGAAACTGGGAAAGGTTTGACACCATATAGTCATAATCTAAGATACAAGAGCTACTAAACTAAAGCTTTGTTCTGTGTTCAACCCTCATGAAAATGGTTTACTCCACCTGTTTTGGTAATGACAGATTAAAGATAGACCAGTCAGAGACATCATATTGAGCCAATGACCCTTCCAAGAACTGGTTCAGACTAGTCTGCTCTGCACTGGTACTAAATATACGGTAAGGCGTAGGAGGACGGAACTAATATATCTAATTTCACGATAATCATCATTATAGGATATATACATGTACATTAAAGCACTGATGAAAAGGCAGCTGACAGAGTACATGTATCTGTGGTGCCAAAACTCTAGCTACAGGCTCCATGTACTGTGCGATTGATGTCAGTCTATGTAAGCATAACACTTTTCTAGTAATCATTATTAATAATGGTAACAGCAAAATGGACACGTCACTATAACATACCACAATACTATCTGTATCCCCATGTGTACAGTACCATACCAGCAATGGGCTGTGGCGTCTGAGGATGGCATGGCTTCAATACCAAAGTGCGCTAAAGATGGATATTGTTTCCCATACCACAGTGTTACTGCAGTAAACCCTACCCTACCCATTGGATCATCAAACAAAAATGCTTCACCATATCTAAACAGGGAAGTACTTTTTCATGACAACCGTGTAAGTGTAAAAGGCAATAGAACAGATCAGGCATACAAATTTTACTTGGATAACACACTTCAAAGCAGTCTGATATAACAGTGCAACAAATATTTCTCTAATAAATGGCAATGCAATTTTACCAACTATTAGATTAATTTTGAGCTTGTTTTCAAGACAATCTAATACATGTGTTACCAGTATACGTATGTCAGAAAGCAAATCCTCAATAAAGCAAATTTGCATTGAGAAATTATCCCCACAGAAATATGCCAAAACCTATGCATGCATATTGTCATTCTTTGAACAAAGTCTGTATGTGCAAAGGATTAATGAGATATTTGACTTCTAGTAACCCCTCTGTCCCACTGCCTCTCCACATACACAATGTTAATGAAGTTCACCATTCATGAAAACAATTCCTGAGATGTTCATATTGATTAGATTAGATTTGCTGTTTACCCTTTCTTGGAACACAGTTCATAAACACATGGTTGGCCACACCACCATTGACTATCCTAGATATCAACCTTGTTACATCATTAACTGTACATAACACTTCGCAACTCCAGAATCTATTTCACTTCCCACCTTATATTGGTTATCATAAAATTGTTTTAGCACTGCAAACATTCCCGTATGATACATTATACTTTAGACAGTACCATAAGTGTATGCACTTCTACATTGTAGTTCCAACAACAGAGCAATATGATGTAAGAAATGTACATGAACCCTTATCAATCGTCCTGGATACCACAGGTTCCTCTGTCAGACATTCATCAAGATCAGGATGAAGACAAACTTACCACCATCATAGTACATACTCTACAGGGAGGGGGTCATTGACCGTTGTAAAGTCTAGTAAGGACCAACATGCAGTTAGGAAACTTCAAATGTTAGTAGTGTACATTTGTAGAGAGCCCAGAATGCAGAACTGAAGTAATCATAAGATCTGAAAGTATTTGGACGTTTTAGTTACATGTATACTTTTAACAAGTAGAAAAATTGAGCAATCATACATCAAGAAGATACAGGCATACCAAAGTGATGCAGGCACATGGCCGTCCCATCACTATTGATTGGCCTAAATACCACTGGACATTTGGACATTACTCAGGTTTGATAATCCGGGATAGATTTCCCCATGGCCATTACTGGGAATATCACTATGGGTCAATGACCCAATTGAGGGGTTACTGTACATCTTGGAAATTTTGTGGCGTTTTTTTATTCTTGCAACTTTTGCTATGACCTTACCGTGAATTAATAACACAGTGAGTATGTCTCGATTGAATTACAAAATGTACTATAGAATTGTTTCACCTGCAATTGTTGACTGTAACTGTTTCACCCTACCATGAAATAAAACTAGTATGAAAATAAATGAATTTACAGTATTCTTTTTCCTATTATTCTGGCAGAAAACTAGATCATGGTCAACATGTTGTTGTCCATTGACATCACGTTGAGTTCCATGTGTCTGGCTGTGGCTTATCAGTCTGATGCTGGCTCAACTTTCAACACTACAAGACTGTACAAACATTCTTACTGTGCTAGCATTAAGAGAACTTTGCCAATTGACATGAGTTCTAATACATGTTACAGTAAATGTTGTGGTATTTCATAGATTGATCATTGAAAATGATAATCAGATAATGTACTTACATCAGATAATGTGACAATTCCCGAATCAAATGACAAAAGGTAAACATTGTGCACACACACAAACTGATGTAACATACATGTATGAAACATGATGTCGAGAAATGATAAAACTGACCAAGTGACTTACCTGTGATAAAATTAGACTTCCCAGCTGGAAGGAAAGACAGATAGCTCTGCTTTCTTCAAGACTCTTTTCTAAGACAACTTATAAATCATAAGATTTCATCCAAGTCTTCCCAGTAAATGTACTTAGAATGCCTGATCAACACTGCATACTTTGGACTTAATAAGTAAGACTGGCAAGGCCTTGAAGCTTCCCCTGGAGTCACAAACATGAACTTGTATGGGAAGAGGACTTACAAAAATGTAGTACCAAGTTTAAAAGGCGTGTGCAGCACGTCACGTATTCCTTGCATGGTTGTCAAAATACTTTGCTAACCCGGAGGCAGTCGTGCAAACCAGAATGTCCTACCTTGAAAATATTAGATACGGTATAAGCCGTAAATGATGGATCATTTTCACATCTATCTACCACTACTCAAAATTGGACTGCCAAGAAATATCATTTTGTATGGCATACTCAAACTGAACTGAACATGGACTACATCCTGATGCTCTAATTGTTCCGTGTCTGTTTGCATATACATTTTGTAAACTTCCGTAGTTATTTAGACATGCTAGGCACAGTGGGAACAATGACAGGAGCTTAGGTTAGAGGTCCTAGAAAGGTTGTAGAAAAGGTTATTTCATTTCCAATTTACAGTGCTATATGCATGTCTGATGCTGTATGGGAGCCAGTGGAAAAATACAGGGACAGAATCAGCAATGAATTTACAATAATGAATAAAACAAGAAATTCACAAATATTTCAGGGACCTATGAGGATATCGTACTTGTATGGGACCAATAATTTTGAACTCTGTATGAAAAAAAAAATTACTTTGGCCAGTATACTTCACATACAGATCCTCCAACAAGGGCAACGTTTTCCCTACAGAAATAGGCTGTTTTGTAGGTTACCTACGGTCACTGATCCAGCTCTACAGTGTACTAGATTTAGTATTCAACCCACGATAGCACCCAGCACTCCATTATGTGAACAGCTTACTAATTTCTCCACCATGCATCTTTCAATAGGATGCACAATTAAAGATTGAAAGGGACAGGCCAATGTAGATGCTACCATTACTTTTTTTTTTAATTATGAGAAATTTGTTCTAGCCGCTTAATTTGGTGTATGCATGAAATGCCCATGGCAAAAACGTAAAAACCCATCATCAAAACCCTGGAAGAAATATGTTGAATCTATGTTACCTCCCATGATAGGTAACATTTTATGGAGACATTTGTCAGGCCTATACCCAATAACAGTGTAAGGATATCTGTAACAGAGACACCTAGCAGAATGTCTGAAAATGACACCACCAAAGACTGGACCAGTCCAAGTACAGACTGACAAACATAGGATGAATTTTACTCCTTTCTTTCAAATGTATATAAAAAGGATCACCAAATGGTAAGATGAGGCCATAGCTAGTAAATTTTATGGATGACATCTGTGTGCACACTGCATCGATTTTTGCCTGATTTTGAAGAAAAAAAAGAGAAATTTTATTATCCTCAAGCCCTACATGTATCAAATGGTTAATATACATGAGACAAGAATATACTGAAAACGGGAGATATTTTATGGGGTGGCTTTGAGAGTACTTGCAGAAGTGACACTAAATGAGGGTAGTTTCAACACTAGTGAAGTAGCCTTGAGTATAGTTGTAGTGATACTAGGCTGGTGTCATTTTATGTGCTTCTTGAATATCGGTATTAAATTTGACCGTGATACCATGTTTTGTCACTTCAATCCTTGTTACAAAGTTTATGGTCAACAATTTGAAAACCAGGCACCATGTGTTTTTTTCCAATCTTGTATCCTTGTAGGGAAGGTTAACTCCACATTTGTATATAAACCCAGCACAGGTTAGGTGCGGAGATACCTGCACAGCTCTGATTTTACCTGTATTCAGGTGCATGTGCATTCAGTATTTGGAGCTCTAAAGATACAATTGTAGAAGACAGATTGTCCAAGAAGCCAGGCAGTAAGAAAATATTAGGCCTAGGAAAAAATATGTGTTTCCTGTTTCAGTCCTGAAAAAGTTAGGGTCGGTAGGTAGGGATTAACTTTTTTTCTTCCTTTCTTTTACCTTGGCTAGTGATCCAACTCATACAATACAGTTTAGCAAAGTAAAACTTGCATA